GATATACCAAATGTAGCAGTAAAATTCACATTTTTTTCAAGTGAACCTCAATTTAAATGGAAAAAGTGGGCGTACAATAAAGTGTTTTGCATAGGGGAGACTGGGGATAGTTGTAACAAAGAGATTGTTGTATTATTTATTTATTTATTTCACATTTATTTAACCAGTTTAGTCCCATTGAGATCAGAGATCCTCTTTAAAAGGGAGACCTGGCCCAGAGGGCAGCAGCATAGTCACATTAGAAACAATAAACAGATAACATTTAACAACATTAAAACTTGCTCACATGTAACACTTGCACACAGATAAGGTAGACTGTAGTGATTTCACCCTAACTTAAAACTTATTCAGTATCACTCAGTTTGACCAATCAAAAACCAGCTGTGGGGATGTCATCAACACACAACTCTTGCTCACTTACAAGTTATGCTCACTGGTGAAGCCTCCTGTCTCTGAGTTGAAAACTGTTCTGGAGCCAAAAAACATTTTTCAGGTAAGAAAGTAAACATTTTCATCACAAGTCTTTTTTCTGCATAGTGTCCATTGTGTTGTCGATACAATTGTTTCACTTACATAAGTTTCTCTTGTTTAATTTGATGTGTGGCATTAGTGCTAGCTTTGAAGCTAAATGCTAAAAACGGTTAGCTTTTTATTGGCTGCATGGCATGGGGAGGGTCTGAACTGCTCTTAACCCTATTCAGGACTTTCATGTTGCCATACGTAGAAGGTCTTTCGGGGTTCATTGGACCGTAACAATAAATTTGTGCAAAATATTTGTTGGTATTCATTACAGACTTTTATACTATGTTAAATACATGTTCTGATAAGTAGACATATTTTTGGTTCCAAATGAAATGAAAAAAAAAAAAAAATGTCCATTTTAGATTTAAAAAACAATCTTCAAAAAATTCAAAATACAAAAAAAATACCTGTCAGCTAAACCAAATGGCCTGGGGTCCAACCAACAGCAGTTTATACTTTATTATATAACAAGTTTATGGTTCCTTCTTTATTGTCATTTGTTCATTTAAATGCTTCCATACATTTATTAGTGTGGATCTTTTTTAACCCTCAGGGGATGCTTTAATTTACGACCCTTTGAGGATATTTCGAGGACAAAAATGTCCTCTCACAAAAACTGCTATAAAAACAGAACAGATTAATATTTGTTTCTACTTTTTTTGCTCAAAGCTTTCAATTAACTTCTGTCCTAATCAAAAATACCAAACATCCAAATATTTTTATTTATTTAACCCTTTAAATGTCCATTTGATTACATATGTCACTGTTTTTATGAAAAGAAAAATTGATAAAATGAGTTATTTTCCATATAAAAACTGTTGGAGGGCTGGGGATTTTTTTCAAAGATGGGGCCTCCATATACATAAGATTACTCTGACCCATAATTAACCATAAGATTAACCCTTTAAATGCCATTTTGATTACATGATGTCACAGCTTTTATGAAAAAAAAAAAAAAAACACAACATGAGTTATTTTCCATATAATAAATGCTGGAGGGCTGAATTTTTTTTCCAGAAGATTAGGCCTAAATATACACAAGATTAGTAATAGAATTGATTTTGATGCATTGTTATTTTTTTTGTAGTCACAGATTGTTAATTTACTACACTTTGAGGATACGAGAGGACAAAAATGTCCCATTGACTCCCATTATGACCACAATTTTTAAACGCCCAGTCATTACACAAATAGTCATGCAAACTTTAATTTCAGGGTTTCATTTTGAAAAATAGTAAAAAAAAAAAAAAAAAATCCATTGTAGGTCTATGCACAAACATGTCATTTTCTAATTGTAAAAACAATAATAAAAATACTGTAGCAGTGCTGTTTTTCACTTTCCATTAAAAAAAAGTCAAATCAGCATTGGATTTATCAAAATAAACGTCTATTCTTCATGTTGCAACTATTTTGTAAACCACAATAAGCACTAAGAATCGAACTGAACATAGAAGGCACAGAAAATACAACAAAGGAATGGAGAGCTCACCACTGAAGTACAACCAATGAGTTTTACCTGTTTACATTTTAACTTTTAGCATAATTGAGAAAGAGTGTGTGTGTGTGTGTGAGAGAGAGAGATAGAGAGAGAGAGAAACAAAGAGGAAGTGAGTGTATGTGTCTAGAGATGGGTGGAGATGGAGGTGGAGCTCAGTCTTTCCAGCAAGATTTGCAGCACCAAATTTGGTGCTCTGTGCAGGAGAACTTGCTACACCTGATGCAGCATTTGGTGACCTTCCTTTTTTTCCCTGTGCACATCCAGCACAGGCCCCTCTTCTGTGCGGAGTCGCTGATGGGAGTGTCGGTGTCAGGGGCATCTGTAGGGGTGGCTGTCGAAGCCTGTACATTGAACACCATAGCAGCAGCAGCATTGACGTCAGCAGTGATACAAATTTCTAAATCATACTTTGCCAGTTTGCTAAACATATACTAACGGAAGTTGCAGCGACCTTTGAAGGGGACACGCTGTTCATCGACACACACATTATTCATAAGGTTGAAAAGCACTGGGAGCCGATGTGTCCACATCTCCTAGACGTTGCTGGTGTGGTTTGTGGTAGCTGGAAAGATGGCACATCCATTATGAGTATCCAAGACAGTAGATTCACCCTTTGACTTATTATCCCCAGACAAAATCAGGAGACCGATGTAGTCCC